TCTCACTCACACACACACACACACAGACACACACTCTCTCTGTCTCTCTCTCTCTCTCTCACACACACACACACACACACACACACTGAAACTGTGTTAATATTTGAGTCTCTCTGATGCAGCTCTGTCTGTGTGTGTTGGGGTTCAGACACTAAACAGCTTCAGAAACCTGCAGAAACCACAGATATTTTCGGCCTAAATTTCTTGCTTCATTTTTTCCCCTCACAGAAACAGGCGACAGTCTAAACAGGGATGTGGACAAGTTTCCGACTTTTTTTCTTTTTTTCTTTTAAGCTGTGGCAAGAATGAAAAAATGGCGATATGTAAATGTTTTCTGAGATTTGTATCAGAGTGACCACAAACATTAAAGATAAAAGAGATGTGAAAATACAGTGCTTTTTATAGGTCTTTTTAGGTCACACCAGGTCTTACGATGTAAAATGAAGAGAGCCTTTCATAAAATAAGACAGAAGAGTGTATGACTTTCACTCACTCTAAAATATCAACTACATATTTTCCAGTTTATTGGACCTTTTGAGTCACATAAACAAAGAAATGTGAACTAAATGTCCCCCCCCCCCACACTTTTGTTGTGTATGTGGATACTAGTTTTTTAGACTTCCTTGACACTTGTCATTGCATTTTCATTGGTTTATTTTTCTATATTTACAAAAAACTAAAGTAAATTTTTTTTGTTGTGAATGTCAGGATTTGCAATTTTCAGAGAGTTCAATTTTGGTTGCATTTGTGAGTTAATAAAAATGTAAGTGGTTGTGTAAAATAGGCCCATAATATTGTAATATTGATGTATCAATCACAGGCCCCTGAATCCCCTGAATCTAATCAAATCATAATTGTATCAGAATATGTTGTGAGGTATTGGCAAATATTGCAACGCTGGCTAAGAGAATTAATGTCAGACCATTACATTTGACCGTACATCTTTTTACGAACTTTAAACCGATAACCAAAAGTCTGTCAATGCGTGACTAAATCTAGAAGGATAAAACTGAAGTGATTATCTTTCATTGAAAATCACTTTGTGTAACATAAACGGTTTGATTTAGAGCTAAGATCGAGAAAAAACTCTCTGTTTTCTAAAAATGGAAGACATGAATGGTTATTTTTCAGGACTCAGTGTAGACACACACACACACAAATATAATGAGCCGTGTGTCAGGACTGGTTTTGGGGGCGCCACTGTGGTGAGACTGGCCTGTAGCAGTGAATAGTGACCCACTCAGATTCTCTGTATGGGT